GAGGGCGGTCAAACCGCTTCTTGAGAGCTTGAATGGCGAGATGATAGTTTTCGGGTACAGAGGGATCATATCCTTGGATAATCAGCGCAGCTCTGCCTTTCAATGAGTTGGTGAGATAGATGAATTTAGTGGACAATTGAAGTGAGTCGTTTTCATGAACCGCTGTCTTGAATTTACACCAGAATCCGTGGAATTGCGTAATGTCCCCGTCGAATGTTGGGAGTTCGAGTCTTCGAAGCTGAATTGGCTGATAAGGAGACATGGTGGTTTCGGGGTCGATTGTCGCAAAACGCACATGTCGGGGGGTTTTGCTCGCATCAGGCGAAGGATGTTCAACAAACTCGTTGCCAGGTGTAGTGCCGGTGATGGAAAGTGTTTGAATGGCAGAAACAATGTCACTGTTAGTGCTCGAACGGAGAGACATTTCGATTGATTCATCCATGATGAGCTGGGTTTCTAACGCTGTGATGATGTCCTGGGCTTGCTGTTGGATCTGGTCGCCCTTCTGATCATTCCAGAACTGCTCCACGTCTGCGCTCAGCAGTGCCCGATTGTCCTGGGTATTTATAAACGATGTGAGAGCTTCGAATTGCTCTTTGAGTACTTCAGTAGCTTTTTTAATTCCGGTTTTCATCGCTGAGATAGCTCCCCTACGGCGAAGTATCTCACGAATTTGGGCATCCGGTGGGAGAGAACCATCTATAGGTGACAAATAAGATGGATCTACAAAGGAAACCATACGCGAAAGATTACTGACCGCGGTGGCAACTTTGGTCTTATATCCTTGGATAGTGAACATGGTGGCGACGTTGTTCGAGAACGCAGTGACCTAGAACAGAGAAGCAGGTGTGCTCTGAATTGGGAAAGGTACCAACGACGAGAGGAACATGCGTCAACGAGCGATTGAAATTTGGTAGAGTTACTATGATACGAAATCTTACGACGAACATGATAAGGCCAAATAATTCATATAGGCAATTTAGAAACATATGAAATGATGCGACGAAACCACATAGGTGATAAAACAATGAACATGAGCATGATAATGAAAAGAAAAGGGGGGAGGGTGGCTATACGCAAGGATAAAGATCTTTTCAAGTGAATAGTATTTGATTAGGTAAATTATGAATGACGACTTGAGGGGAAATGAGCATGGTCACAAACATACCAACAGTCGAACGCGTGTGAGTATGCAAAAAATGACAACACGGAGCGGAAAACATGCTCTGAGCGAACCCGAGCCTACCCCCGCACCCCCGGGCCTCCCAACCACGACCAAACTGATGGGCCTAGCATACAGCATCCCCACAAGAATGTCGGTTGGCCTCCCCGGCTGACCTAACGGGCGGCATCCTCGGCCGATCGCCCGTGTTTCACTTGATGCAGTAGACACATGGCGTATTAAGTACCTGATCCAGGTTCATGAGGGCCCTTCTCAGCCAGTGCTACCGAGGAGGCCCCTGCCACTGGTCGCAACGGCAGTACTGGAACTGATACATGAACATGGAAGAGTGTACCACCAGCAATAGCCTTCATGGTGACCTGCTCCCTAGGGATATGCATGGACATGAATTGGAAACGGTCATGTTTGAAGAGGGGCCACATGGATTCGATCGCTCGGCCACCGTCATCAAGACGGTGACCGCGGCCGATGCACCAAATTGTGTCGTGACCCATCGGTGGTTCGATCACGACACAAGTGGGACTCCCACCCCACCCCCCGCCCTACCCTACCCGACCCCGTGCCTTGAATGTATACCCAACAACCGAACCAATGGTTGTAAAAATAAGCAACGGAAAAAACCCTTTTGCCAATTATAAAGAACACCTTTTTAACCAAACCTTCATGTAATTAACGAAGACATTGACAATATTAAAATACAAAGAATACCTTCTTTCAAGATAATAGAGCGAGATGGGCCCGGTCGAGGCGCTGGGGACGAGCAGGGTAGTCGGAGGAGAGGGGGAGTCGACCGTGCGGGACGACGGAGACGAGACGAAGTGAAAAAATGAATGCTGTTTTTGGAAGCGCGCGCACTTTGGCGCGAAAACGGGTTTTTGGCGCTCATTGACATGGATTGACGCGTTTGACATGTTTTGTGCACATTGGCCCTGGAGCACACTATTTTCTTCTTGTCGACCAGAGGGAGGTCGGTCACGACAGCCAGGGGGGTTGGTGAAAGCTACGATAATAACTAGGTCACAAATTAGTAGGACCTACCTTTTGTGGGGGGGAGGGCTCTCTACAAAAGCAGTGCTTTATGAAATAACAAAAGTCGTTTTAGAGAAAGCCTACAAATCAGAAAAAATTGGTGTAGTGAAGCAATTTGTAAGGTGTTCCCAGCAAACATGATGTGTGCGGAGACTCGCCCACAATGGGCGGAGCGTGCCCTGAAGTACACAGCGTTCCCTTATAATTCCCCATAATCTCTTTCGCCTTCGCCGACCATTGTCCGCTGTTTCTTGGTCTCCGAAGTCCGGACTGCCTCTGGGTCAACTTTCAATTTCGCAGTGAGATTCACCTTTTCCTTCCTCACCATCTCTCCCCATATTTCCCCTACGAGCGATTTATGTGCTTGGCAACAAACTCTGGTTACTGTGGTGCATGCTTCGCTCACCAATAGCGGTTGACCTCCCTCCCTTCGTCAAGCTCGACCCACTTTTCCTGGTCTCTGGACGTCTGAACCAAGTTGCATAATTTTGTGGACAACCCCGCCGCTTTGAGCATGCCCCGCCCACCAAGGGCAGTCGACCTTCTTTTCTTCGCCAACCTCAGTCCACTTTCTCCCGGTCTCCGGGACTTCTATAACGGAGTTTTAGGTTTGGCTGCAAACTTTGCCTACTTCTGTGCTGAAAACGCCCAGCACTAGCATTTAGCCTCTCTGCTTCGACCTCTCTACCTTTTTTCCCCTTTCCAAGACTTCTCGGAACCGAATTATGAGGACTTGTAGAAAACGCTGTACACTTCAGGGCACGCTCCGCCCATTGTGGGCGGGCCTCCGCCCACGTCATGTATGCTGGGAACACCTTAGACATTGCTCCCCTACACCAATTGTTTTCTGCTCTGTAGGCTTTCTCCCAACCGAGTTATGTTTTTCATAAAGCACTGCTTTTTTAGAGAACGCCCCGCCCACCGGGGGTGGGTCTTACTAATTTGACCTAGTTATTAATGCGTAGCTTTACCCAATTTCTCCCTGGTCTCTAGGCTATTTTTCAGTCTAATTTGATGTCTTGGTCTTCAGCGCCGTTCCTTTCGATGCACGTCACGCTCACTGTGGGCGAAGCTCTACCTAATGTGCATTGTACTTCTGGTGAAATGGCCCACCCAGCCTACACTTGATCCAGTCTCTCCGGGAGTTGGGAAACTTCGTGGCAGACATAGAGAACGACCGACGAAACGCATGCCATATAGTATGTGGACACATTATGTGAAGTAATCAGTCTCTACGAAGAAACTCACTACGTTGGCTAACGGCATTCCGCAGCATCCAACAGCTCTTCTTCGGATTTTATGCAGTTGAAACTCCGTTCTGTGTACGCTAACTCGGCTTTTTTTCGAAAGGCGTTCTGGAAAGTCATTATCATTCTTCGTTTTCCCTTACAATTTCCATTGACGTACACTTTTGGGTATTTGATTATCCGTAAAGAATGTTTTGAATAAATAAAAAATGCCGTATGAGTCGAACAAAACGAGATCATCCGTGCAGGAATCTAAAGTGCATGTGTTTCGCGCTGCTGCCAATGAGATGAAGGCCTTTTTTCTTACGCTGAGTGGAAAATTCTTCAGGTGCTGTTTGCAATCCCGCAGAAGTGGAAGGGAGTCACCCTTTCTTCTATTCCCAAGTAACCCAAATAACTTTACAGATGTGTGAGGGTTGAGTTTTTTGATAGAGACCTTGGAACTACAAAAATCTATTTTGTTATCAGCCAAGTAGTCACTATCAAAAGAAGGTATGGAGTCAAAGGGCAGTTTGCAGTGACTCACGCATCGCTGGACGTGTTTTGTACACTGATCTCGGATCTTCATTTATAATCTTTCTTACTTTTCGAACGATGATATGAAGCGCAAAAGAGCACCATTGTGGTCTATGCACAAAGGCAAATTTTCGTGACTACAAGACCTGTAGCCTGCTCGAAAACATGCTTTTCTTAGCTCCTCGAACATTATGAGCCGCACATGACTGCCTGGATGCCCATAACTCAGGTATACAGGGGTGGCCAAAAAAAGAGACACTTTGCCATGGCGCACATCATCGAACTTTTCGTCGCACAGGGAGCCGATGTTAATGAAAGTTTTACGGCGGAATATTCCTTAGGTGTTCCCCGTAAGCAGAAGCAGGCCCTCCTTCACTGCCCCACCGTCTTCAGAATATGACGTCATCTGCCGTCACCGTCGAGCTCAACGAGGCTTACCGTAATCGCTCCGGCCTGAAGCTGCTACATAATTTCTTCAATGGATTAACTGGTGAATAGCTTCTAGAGACACTAGCTGTGACTGTGCAAGACCGCTTTTGACCAGCGTTTCAGGGACGTCGTAATGGTCTATGGTACCTCGACGACCTCGTTGAGCTCGTACCGTGAACCATGTTTCCGTGGGAAAATCTTCTGATGTCGTCGGTGTAGAAGGCTGTCATGTTAGATAGATTAGAATGTGCTCTTTAATACTAAGTTGGGGCAGTCGATTTGATTCTAGCAAAGTGTGATTAATGCTGTCTGAACTGTGAAGTGAAGTGTCTCTTTTTTTGGCCACCCCAGTATGCGCTACGGGCATCCACGCTATCATGAACAAGTAATAGTCCCTGAATTTCTTAATAGCTCCTCGCTGACTCTATAGGACAGCCTAGACCATGATAGATAGCTGAATTTAGATGAAGGCGCTTCAGCCGGAGAATAAGCAAAGCAGCAAGCTTGCCGATTTGCTGTCGCCTCTCGTCAGTTAGCTAGGGCTGCTACTGTTAATTCTCAGAGCTCCATAAATACGTTCGGCTCACGAGCAAAAGGTCATGGCGAGGAGCCTTTCGATAACTTGTTCATAAATATGCTAGCATTAATAAGTACTGTGAGTTTCCATATGGCTTCATTTTAACACGTTGACGACATCGCGTGTTTTGGCATTTTGCACCGCGTGGGACAGGAGCGATTTTGCGAGCGCGCCGTCCTCACCTTACTTCCGCTTATTTTTTGTTTAAAATGCACAACAACTTGAATCTCATAGAATTATTTCGGCAAGGATGAAAGCATAAAGGTTAACTATATAATAGCAGTAGATTTTTGTTTAGAAGAAGCGCATAATGACCACGAAGAAGTAAAAAACATCACTTTCGCTGCGAATGAAATTAAAAGCATTTATATCTAAGTTCTTCCATCAAATACAAATATCTTGAAACTCACAGAGTTTGTATTAACCGCTTTTACCATCTGCGTATCAGAAAATCTTTGCTAAATCAAGGGGATATTTGACCACTCTGGCTGCCATGTGGTTTATAGTTATGCTAATGTATTATCTATAGAATGAATACAAAAAAACCGAGAAGAATAAGCGTAAGAATAAAATTGAATCATTAGGTTGGTAAGAAAGTCCTGAGCCGTTTGACACTTTTTTGCTTTACTTTTTTATTCCGCGTACAATGGAATTACTCAACAATATAATCACCATTGTTACTCACTACAGAGTCCCACCTAATGGGCAGGTCAGCGACCCCTTCTCCCAGAACTGAGCAGACTGAGAGTCAAAGAAATCGCTGACCGCTCTTTCAACGTCTTCAACTTTGGTGAATTTTTTCTTCGCTAGGAATGCCTTAAGGGGATGAAATAAGTGATAATCAGAGAGGGCAATGTCAGGGGAATAGGGTGGGTGGGGAACCGCGTCCCAGATCAGCTCTTCCAATTTTGCACGGGTCTCTTTAGCTATGTGGGGCCTGGCGTCATCGTGGAGTAGGTGGACAGAAGTTCGTCTCGGTCGTTTTTCTCGAACAGCGTCCTAGTTTCTGGAGCTGACTGGCGTAAATGCTGCCGGTAGCGGTATGTCCTTATGGGAGCACCTCATAATTTCCCAACCTTGACTTGTTTTCGGAAGCCGTGTCTCCTCCTTCTGAAGCTTGCGAACCAGAGCTTGGCACTGATGATGGAAGTGGTGTCCCTTCCCAATGCGATGCTGATAATGTTGACGGTTTCCACTGCTCCTGTGCCGCAGCGCCATTCATTGAAGATGATCGCTCGAAAGTGCTCTTGTGGAATCGACATCATGATTAAAGTTAAAGAAGGCAACCCGGCTATATATACCTACTGCGGAGAAGTATGATCGACAGCGATAATCTATCACGTAGCAGATTCTAGGTATCGATCAATAAGCGAAAGTTCTGGAGCTTTCGAAAAATCGGCTCAGGACTTCCTTACCATCCCAAGTACATGGTTCTGACGCGCATGCGCGTCAGAATGTCCGATGCGGTGCAAAATTCCTGACGCGCGTACGCGCCAGCCTGTCGTCAACGTGTTGAGTAGCAATCAATTTCCATAACAAATATAGTACAAAAATAAGCTTTGATTGTTTATCGGTAACCCATCACACCTACTGAAGATAAAGCATATGTGAAGGGTTTCATCGAAGGAAAGAAGAATTAAGAGAAGTGGAACTGTTAGCAATAAAAATATGGAATAGACCACGATACTCGACAGAAAATGATCACAATTATCATTGTAATATCATCAATAGCCGTCTACAAGGAACAAATTGTATAATACATCTTACAGGGTGTCCCAAATATTGCACCACGTTCCTCCACTTGTAACTTCTCCCGAAATGGATTCGTGCTCAAGTGATTCACACTTTCTTTAGCCGAACACTTACATTTTGGAAGAAGTGACATTTGTCCAATATGCTCCCCTTTCGCTGGGGCTATGGATCCCGAGTGAGGAAGTACAAGCTCCTCTATGTCGATTGACAGCAGGCTCTGTCTATTAGTATATGGTGGTCTAGCACATCGAAACCAAGGGATAGGAGAGGCATATATTTGAGGATGCGAAGTCAGAAAGAATGTCATGACAGCAATCCTAAACAATTGCCGATTATAAATTTGTTTTTAGGTCAAGCATTTCAGTGGTTTTTTCAGTCTTGATACTGTGGCTCCTTTGAACCCTGTATCTTCACTTCAGGGAATCCGAAGTTCTTGATGAGCGTTATAACGAGCCTCTTGAGCGCGACACCCGAATAAAGGACAAGGAAATGTGCTATTACGCAGAATCTATGCATGTAATTAAGCGGCTTTATATGGCCGAAAACTGGCCTGTCTACTGCCTATACTTTAGAGCGTACTAGGAAAAGACGAGCGATAGATGCGAGTTCTATGTTATGTCTGCGGTATTCATTCGAAATAATAATTGTCCGATGCGTCCAATGGAAAATTGTGTTCAAAGTGAGTTTTCAGGTTCAGCGCAACGGTATATTTATTTCAATGAGCCATTAATCGATAGGGGCACTTTACAGAATTCTCTTCTTTCTTAACAAGCTTTTATCTTCTGGCAGACAACATCTGGGCTGTATCCTTGTGCGAGAGCAGCTTTGAGCTGGGCGAGTTGTTGATCTGCGAACGCCTTGCATTGATACTCAGCAAATGGCAGGGATTTGAAGAACTCCTTGCATTTTGCAACGAATTCCTGGAAAATGTCACAGTTTCAATCAGACTTCAATGAGCACCAAGAAGCAGTTAGAGTGAAAGTGAAACATGATTTGATAAAGCTTCCCCCCTCATGAAGCGCGGGACCTATTACCTCCAATACAAAAATGTAATGAGAAATTTTGAATATGAAATTTAGGCTTTGCAGTTCGCTGTTCTACCGAGACTCGTGGCATACACCGCTGGCTCCACGGTTTCAACAACCGAAATCTTCCAATATTTTGCTGGAACCGCGGAATCTTTCCGTGCTTATTACCCAGTGCATTAGCCTGAGTTTCAGGTTTTTGCATTAATATTGTCATAAAGGTATAGGCATAGGTTTACTTAACTTTTATTTATATTATTTTGGACTGTCTTTTGTTTTCGTACGGACGCTAGATTGGATGCATTCGTTCAGACACAGGGTGTAGTACCCATGCAGCCTTCCTCCAATGAGCAATTAAAGAAAAACATCACCCAAAACTGTGTTATGAATCATGCATGCAAATACAGGGTGTGCCAGAATTACTTGCTCTAAGTTACAGCGGTTGCTCCGCCAACACTTATAAGCAACAAGCGATTGCTGATCAGCTTATTGGATCCTAAGTCCTCTATCAGTGCTTAGGATCCCAATTTTTAGCGCTCACGTTTTTTCAGAATGGTTAGACTTTATTTAATTCAAAAAATGACCACTCAGCTGAACGTGCTTGGTCCCAGTGCAAAAACAATAGCCAAAATAGCACTAGTACGTGGCATAACTGTGGAGTTTGTCATCAAATGATAAAAGGACTCCGAAGCTATGAAATACCGCTGAGAATGGTGGACACCACCAGCTGCAACTTCCACGAAAAATGTTAAAGTGGTACGAGATAGTGCGCCCAATTCCGACGAGGTCGCTAACAAACGTAGTCAAGAAGGTAGAAAAAAGCTATCCCTATAGCTGTCATACTGCTGAGAAAATTATCACCTTGGATTGATAGTTACCTAAATGCCCCACTCCATGCCGCAAAGATAGTCCGGTATAACATAATATATAACTTCAAGACGTTTTCCGAATGATTACGCGGGCGCGCCACTGAAAGATGGTCTTCTTTTGTGAAATCATCCATGGATGCAATGTTAAATGCAGACTTTGCCTCCTAAAAATGCCCACTTAGGATGGTCCAGCACTTTGGAATCAAGGAAGGAGAGCCATTCGTTTGAGGATGTGAAATCGGAAAGAGTGCCTTAACAGCGCTCCTGAACAATTTTTGCCTCCTATGCAGAAGCTGGGTCCTATTGAAAAGATCATCACCCCTCCTCAAAGTGGCTAGATACCTCAGTAACAGATGGTGCACCGAAATGTCCCTTGGCTCGGTCTAGTATCAAGTTGTATTCCTTTGTAAACAGGCAGTGATGGTGAGCGACCGGTAGTTGAGACCCCGTCCAGACCATGATAAGGTTCGGCTGCTGCTTGTGGCGAATATTCCTTTCACTCTCACTGACTTCCTCAAGACCTCATGCGGGCATCCTCGGAGTTTGAAGATTGTAGCTCCGCTCCATGTGAGGAATTTTGTCGTCGATGAAAACGGTGCCCGCGTAATCGCCATTTTCGGCCCTCGACACCAGCTCTTTAAATTTTTGCTGTGCTCCTCCCGTTGGATTGAGCAGTGGTGCTTATGCAACTTATAATGGACTGTGAGCAGTTGTTATCTGACCACTCTCTACATGGCTGTGTTTAGAAACTCCAGCGTTCTGGTCACCTTTCTCGAGCCAACCCGGGTATTGCAGTCGTTTCGCTTCTTCATGCTTTTCCTGAGATCCAAGATGTCAGAACTTGTGGGGCGGCCACAACAAAGACTACTTATTGGTCTTCTCTTTAGTGCACGGTAGGCCGCGGAGCGGTTGAAAATCCAAAGAAGCGCGATGCTCATCACCGGATGTCCGACCTAGCTGTGTGAGAGGTTAGGCACTCTGTTGAAGTTTAGGCGCACCATGAGATGCAGGCCGAACGGTAAGCCGTGGAATTTGGCATGGTCATTGACAAGAGGATAGAGGATTGAAAGGTCTGCCAATCTCGGAAGAAAAGCTATAAACACCTACAGAATTTGAGCTCAAATTTGGTGCAACATTTATGGGAGACCCTGTAAAACTATTGCACATTAGCGGAGGACCACATGTCGAGAAAATTAGCAACAAGAAATCGAGGAGTTGGGCTGGGACGTTCTACCTCCAGCGCCATATAGCCCAGGTCTGGCGCCGTCCGACTATCACTGACCCAGGTCAGCGCAACACTCCTTAGCAGCAAACCAATTCGATAACCGCGACGACGTCAAAATTTGAGTGCCCAACTTCTTCGAGTCGAACCAGAAAGAGTTCTACGCGGTAGGCATCCATGCTTCTGCGTAACAAAAGGTGATGAGCCTGTGACACAGGTGAAGGAGATGGTTCAGGTTGATGTGCTTCATTATTGTTTTTATAATGAAAATAATTGATGATCGAAAACGACATTTCAATCTAGCCAACCTATATATACATATATATAATCTTGCCGAACTTTGTGAACTGCCGTTGCACTCACAATAAAATATGTTTCACAAATTTCGCAACTATCAAACACTTTGTTCATGCCTGTTCTAGGCCGCCTCATAACCACAGAAGGACTGACCCACCGTAAAAACAAATGCGATATCAGTAGAGCTACTTTCCCTACTACGCAAAACATTCCAAACTTATACAAAAATTAGGAAATTTTAATATCACATTCTGCACACCTGACCTTTGGATTACAGCAGCTCACATTAACTTCCACATACTAGTACACACAACTCTGTTCTTCTATTTCTTAACTGAGCTCGGATACACGAATTCTGGAAGGCTCAATGCGACACGTAACATTTTTGGAATCAAAGGTATTTCACCTTATCCTTCTATTTTATAAAGCGCTAACTTTGTGTGTCGGTTTGTGTATCTGTATGTGTGTATGTGTGTATGTGTGTCCGTCCGCAAAATGAAGTGAGTGAGAAGGAAGCTCATGGGATAAACAAACCGCTAACAAATCGGGTAGCTTACAGGATTTGAGATATCAATGTTTTGTAGCAGGATAGTTGTGATAACACTCTTAGGGCTATATAAACACCTGCTTAGCACACTTCCGTTCATTCCACATGGTGCTGCAGTGGCAGCTGGAGGGCAGTGGAGAGAGGAAGGGAGGATGAGGAAGGGAAGCGAAAAATCTACCGTCATATCATGATTGTGTCCCTTCTACTGTATGAAACACCATTGTGTTGCATACGCGTCACTTCCAGGAGGTGTTGGTGTCACAGGAGGAAGGGACCATAGCGGAGGATAGAAAGCTTGCGCAGGAAAGGAAGGTCCCGGCGGTTGACGGGGGACTAATCTGGTATACATAAACGGGATGAAATCCTCTTAGAAACACATTCTTCCATGAGACAACAACAATACACGTACAGTTTTGTACACTTTCTCAACGTGACTTCTCAGCACGTCCCTTACAAAATGGGGGAACTAAGATATATGGTTTTGTCAGGAACACCAGCCTCACTCGTGCCTATCCTACCCTGCCGTTCTCTCGATGTGGGACGTAGAACCTGCTGCATCGGCCAAATGTGCAGTTTCAATCGAAACTGACAGTCAGAATCAAAATAACTCTTCGAAAAATTCCGTCCATGGTTTGTGATTGTTAGCGATCCCTCACCTCAAGGTGTGGTGGACAGAAAGCGACTTGAAGCCAGTGAATTGTCATGTACTATTAGTGACTGAAAGATGGTACGGAACTGAAGGTCGTATTTTGACGTAGAGGCTCAATATGTTTTATGATAGTATAATGATTCCTTCTATTCTTGATCTGACATCTTATTGAAGAAAGTTTTGTGCGCAAAACATTGGATACGCAAATTTTTTTCTACAATTTTTCTTTCGTAGTTTCTAGTTTTACTTCGAACTTTTGTTCAGATACACGTTCACAAACACAGCTGAAGGAAAGCCGACTCTTCTGAAGGAGTGAATAGAAATACAATAAAAATTTATGTATACATATGTATATAGGCGGGTGGTGTGTACGCTGCGATACAATTCGATATTTCGATATGAACTAACCTCTGCAATTCGAGTGCTGGCCTGTTCCAGCAATGGCACAACTATTTTCACGGCTTCTTTGCATACTGTGCAAGTGACGTAGTTGCCATTCAAAAGTGGAATTGGCTCAGCTGTTGTCCAAACGAGCACTACAGAGAGCGCCACAAACAGACGGAACATTCTGAAATAATTTTTCGATATTCGCCAACCTGACAAAGAACAGAGCTTCAAATGATTGTAATAGGACCACTGCTACACGGAAGAGAACAGAACTCTGCCTTGCCGTCTAAGTTTCTCATTTATCTAATCAGAGTGTTTTTTTTCCTAGCGGAGTGTGCCCAGAGAATTTAAAATAAGGGCAAGCGGATCACTTATCGAAACACCAGTCATAAGCGGCTCGGCTCGCATTCCTATGGGATGGGGCAGCACCCTCCTTATCAATCCTGCTTGCTCTAGATGGGGCGAAATGGTGACCAGTTTATAGTGTAGAATACTTTTTGAAGATCAAACATACGTGGCCATCGAGAGGTCGAGCACCGGTTGGAAAATGAGTGTCTCCTGATATCTCAAAGAAGTTAGCTGACTTGCATCGGAAGCTCAGATTATTGGAGTAGGGAAACACCTTAAAAGTTTGCGTTCGACGTTCGACGGCTTTCACAATTTTTGCGAAACATTTTTTATAAATACTATTACTTTAAAAACAACTCAACCAAGAGACCTTTTCAAGTTGTGGAGTGCGGGCAGCACCAGAGTTTCACAATTTTTTTTCATTTTCGTGGAATTTTCATCGATGAGGTTTATATCCGACCCGCATTTTGAACAGGGACAGCGTGGTGATAAACTTTAACCACCAATCCGTTCAACCATTAGTCGTGGATCATCCTTTCATCGAGAAATATTCTTACGTACTATCAGTAACACCCATGTTCGGAAAAGCTCAGAATTGTATAGCTGCTTGTCGATGTTTGGAATGCGTTGCAATTTAATCCTTTCACGATCCATAGAAAGGAACCAAGTAACTCCGAAAGCCTCACGAATATATCTAACCAATCTCTAGTGGTTAGAGGAATCTATCGCGGAAAAATCATGATTCTATTTCAGCCATAAATCACTGGCTTGAGACTCATTCATCCACGATAAGAATGAAAAGAACAGAAAAATTGCATTTGTTTTGGTAAAAAATTCGAAAAACGAAAGGGCTGCTACGCGTTCAAAGTACCGCCGCACATCTGTCACAAATGCTGGCGACGGGAATGCCACATGGTTCTTGGAGTGCCTTCACTAGAAACTCTTTCTGGCCTTTGACTTATTGCATTCACATCACACTTCTACTCCATCCTATTCTATCGATCGATTTGTCTCTACTCTCCGAAATCGCGCGCTTTAACCCGATTCTTTCATTGCGTCGCCTGATACGTAGCCGGCTTCTTTCCATGCCTCGCCTTTGGCTCCGCGCCCCTCCTTACCTTCGATTGTCCATAGAGTGTAGTTTTTGTAAGTTTGTTTCTCTTCGGAAACCGAATCTTCATGCGTGAAACTTTGTGTGCTGTTTCCAGTGATCACAACTGACATATTCATGTTGGAAAGAATGCAAGAATTTTCCGCGCAAGATTCTTTTAAGTAACAAATGGGTGTCGATTTGAAATCGACATTCAAAACTCCACAACCTTCTACATAACCATGTTTCGACATGCCTTTACCACTGCATGCCCTCCATCTATCTGCACTTGAGTGGACACCTCGATCTCAGAACTTCGCAGTCTTCGGCGCAAAGATTTATTGAAAATACGCTTCAAGGTGCACACGGTCATAATGGTATTCTCCTGTAGGAAACGAGCGATTAGGGGAGATACTGGTGATTGGTTGGTATACGACCGCGGGTTATGAAGTGCGTGTGAGAACCAATTTATTGTACAGCACTCTCGCATTCGTGACGTGTGGGGTACGAGTTGCCGCGCAGAGAAACACTTTCATTATCCGAAAGCTGCGAGTGTGCAGTTTTCGGAGCATCGCGCAGCTGAAAGCAATATCTGTTTTCGCAAGCACTAGTGTATCGGTGAGAGACTGTAAGAAGCAGTTCAAGTGGGAGAGCATAACCTATTTTCGGTGAAGCCCTTGGAGTTCATTGTTGGTGCCGAGCATTGGTGCATGGTGCAGCATTGGTGCACGTCCTCACTAATGCTGCAAATTTCATTTGAATAAACTTGAATAGCACTTCTCGACCCCAGTGAACTCTTGTCAGGTTATTAGAAAGTACGACTTTGACACAGCAAACTTTGAAATATGTTCTTCACACATGTCTTCCGAGCAAGCTCATCCAACTTGTGTGGATTCCATCTTCCAAAGTTGTACACTTCTCCCATAGGTAGAAGGCACAACTCAAGGAGCCAGCCGGGTGCTGGAGCACAGGTTGCCTTCAGTGTCTGCGGTGAGTGGATATCTGTAACGTGGCTGGTTTTTGTGGCTGTAGTCGCCCGGTAAAATTTCCCAGACCATTCTCAACAGACTCTTCTGTTTAACAAGCCCAATCCTGCACAGCTAATCCTAGAGGCTTTTGAGACCTCATACAGTGCACTTCAAGAGTATGTAAACATCTTAAAATTCACGATAAAAAGGCTAACCAAGAGGCTTCGTGCTATGAAATCCTTCCTCAATCGATTTCCTCGTAGTCGATAACGTATCAATGTAAGTTCACCAGTAATATCGCCTTCGTCACTGAAAATTTCAATCGAGAAATCTCACGACAACTCGGTCGTTCTCCTTCATGCATTGGGAAGATTGATCTGGCACCCTGATAATTATACTCAGCACGCACTCCGCTCCATCCACGATCCTTGACTGCTCAGAACAACAAAAGAGTAGCCCACATCCTGTCGAATTCTTCATTGACAGTCCGAGCTCAGATTGGTTATTACCAGCCTTGAAAACGACCACTAAGTGCCTCATCCGCTCAAATGAATACACCACCCAATAAACGCTGAGAAATGCTGCTCACTTACGGTTTTTGGAATTTCGGAGAAAGCTTGTAGATGAGTCTGGGGCGGTTTCGCAAGCAGCGGGCAATTGAAAGTTGCCATTTCATTATTGCGCATGAACAGTAAAGAATACCGAGTATGCTCCAATATCAGCTGTTGCTTGTTGTTAGAGATTGACGGACGCGTGGTCCTCTAGCTAGAAATGCAGCGAAGGCTGCATTTTAGCAACAGGACCACGCGTCCGTCAATGTTCCGCAATCTACCAAAGAATGGCTCAAACGATGCTGAAGTGATAGAATTGGCATTGGTTCACTTCACTGCAACCCTATGGCGAATCCTTGATCAAGGAGTTCAATTAAGCAACCGGCAGTATAAAACCGCGGAAGCTGAAGGCGGCGGTAGAGGCTATTTGGGCCGACGAAACAGCTATGCCAAACGTGGTTCAGATTATGCCGGACAGGATGTTTGAGCTAATTAGAAACTCTGGAGGCCCCACTGATTTCTAATCTCAGCTATGTTTTTGTCTTTTGTTAAGTGTGCACATACTTTTGAAACAAAGAAAAAAATTTCATCCAATTTTTTTCACGAAACCAAAGCGATATTATCTGCTTCTCTTTCATTGGAAGCTTCGTAGCACGAAGCCTTTTAGTCGCCCTTTAAACGTGAATTTTGAGGTGTCCACATACTTTTGAAACGCACTGTGTAACTCGTAAAGTAGATAGAGGAAAACCAGAGCTGAAGAGGATGGCATTGTTTTTCCCTAAAGACGAGCGACAGCGCTGACGGCTTTCTTTGCAATAGGGATGCTAGGGTGGCTAAGAACCAGTTCTTTGCTGAATTAGATACAAGCATTTCTTGGGATATCGCAAAGAAATCAGCACACAACATAAAACAATCGTCTAACATGCACGTCTCACTCTACGTGTTAGTAGCTCGCGATGCAGTGCCAGCAGCATAATTTGTAAAGGAGAAACACTCCTTTCATCTGTTCATTCTACGTAGGATTCTGACAGCTATAGCGTATTCTGGTGAACAAACTCGTGCGCATGAAGTTTTGACTACATACTGAAAGGGTTTTCGCTGCTGTTTAATCAGGTGAATGCTGAACGGTGATGTTAGTTGCTGTGCCATCATACTGCAAGATCTCAACCACATGGGTAGAATACTAACTATTTCTCTTACGTAAACCGTTTGTCTATTAATTTGGCAAACCCCCAGTTCTTGCGCAATCCCCAGCTTGGCCATATGGGCATGTAACTCGCAGTATAGTCAACTCCATACGGAATGGCGTCCGATGTTGTTATTACGAATGCCCACCCACCGTGACCACAAATGATACAAATTTTTACCTTGAATTTCTTCTATTTTTATACCTAGCGTGACTTATTCACAGGCGATTCATCGAACAGTGATCTCTCTGCTAGCCCTCATGATGCCTCTTGGATAAATCTATAGAGTAACGACTTGCAGTTGGACATGTGGCTTATCATAAGGTGGTTGATCGGTTTAACAGCTGTGTTTTATCATTTTATGAAAACCTTGCATTTCTTTGCTTCCAGGAATTTTAAGAGAGAAGACTCTGCAGCAACAAGAAGAGCTTCATAGGGAGGAATCCGCTCATTTCTGCTCACGCCTGCACATCATGACCTTATTCGTCATCGATCGCACGTTAAATGCTCTCTTAGAAGGATAGGATAAGAAGAAATTGCGCATATGACCGCACAACAGATTTTGAATGCATTTATTGAATGCCAATGAATATGATACAATGAAAAGTCTCGCTCAACACGCCTTCAGTTTTCGGCACACGTCCTCTGGAGCAGTTCCAGATTCAAGGTAGCGCTTGATGGGTGGGATGTCTCTTGTTGCTAGCGCTTGACATTCTACTTGAAAGAACGGCAAGAAAGAAAAAGCCACCTCGCACTCAGCCACGTATATCTGAAAAGAATTTCTTACCAAGCAACAATGACACACATATTATATATTACACTAGAATAAACTGAATAGGTGATTTCATAGCAGTATATTGAGTACGACGTACTTGGGGTGCGTTGTCATCCTGGGATTTATCTCACCTCATTTTACAGCAACGAGCGAAATGAACAGCTCTTGCATGAATGGTGTTTTCGATAAAGCCACCGACGTAGTGCAAAGAAATTCGTGCTCCGAGAACTTGCAACTTTCACTTTCATAGTTAATGACGGCTACCCAGTGCATTCGTTGCTCACGGAAGCTCGTTGAAGCAAACGAATGGTATTCAAAAAACCGAGGATGAGCCATGCTGTACTTGAACGTAAACGTGAAGGTCGTAATGGAAAGGGGAACGGTAACCGCTCCTAATCATAAACGGTCACTTAGCAAATACATACAGATTCTTAAATAATCCGAGAGTCACCTGATGTACCAATCAGGTTACCCTTACATCCTTCCCCATCCCCTTCCCATTCTGCAATGTGATACATCAGCTGCGGCTTTCGCCAAGCTGATGTATCACACTTATTGCCTTCATGTTGTTACAAAAGCGTACATTTGTAAGTTCACACGCCGGCTGATTTTTTTACCCACGAAATTTGAATTTTTTCAACCACCTTAAACAGCAAACGATTAGCTTTGATTTGAAAGTAGCTGGATACCAACCTTTTCAATTTCTGGTAACGACTTATCCAGCATTCGTACAACCACGTCCACTGCGTCTTTACACAGCGAGCACATTGTTGGCAATTCATTCGATCTGGGATGCGCCCCAGCGAGTGCGATTACCAGGATGGCTGCCAAAATGAGACGTTTCATTCTAAAAGAGTTGTCATTCAAGGAGTGTTCAATATGTGTGAACACCAAGATAATTTGGCTGTACGATGGCAGCTACCTGAGGAAGTGCAGACGAGAATTGATATATATCACTACACAGTTTTGAATTTTATATTAGATTATCAGGTCTCATGACCGCTGATGCATAACTTATGACAAACACCTTATCGTGAGCGCTTCAAAAAAGGAACTAAATAGCAGGTAAAAGTAGAAGATGAAGCGCTGCAAGCACATTTTCATCGAAATGAGTTTGCTTGCCGTCTTATCAGAAATAACTTGGAATGCCCCTCTCAGCTCGCTTTGAACTGTGTATGTGACCAACTGCAAAAGTCGTGGTATCTATCATAACATTCCAAACGTTTGTTTTGCGAAGGTGAAAAATTAATGCTCACTTGTCTCCAGATAGCATCATAGGATTCACAGAATGGAGCTGATTCAAGTGTTCTTCGTGTTGCAGTGGGGTTTCAAGAAGAAATCATTAAATCATTGACGGCAAAGTCACAAGCTGCTGGGTGACATGATAGATTTTTTTAAACGTGCAGTTTTTGATTTTTCTTGATCCCTTGTTTCATGAGCTCAACGTATTTGCTTGCACTACATATTTAACCGATTAGAGTTTTATCAGAAAATTCGAGGAAAATGATGGGTCTTGTGATGCATGAAAAAGGTTCTGTTACATGAAAGTTATTATTTCGAGTGTATTAAGCTAGTTTTTTTGGTCGTCGGCAGCTGACGCACAACAACATTTGACAAAGGAACATCGGAATTCAATGCATTTACGCATGCTGAAGTAGAAAATTGAAGTGTTCCGACTACGTTCCAGAATCGTCATTTACCCTAGGGAAGACCTATTGCTCTGTTTGGAAGCAGTCAAAAACTGATCGAAAAAATAAGTGACAATCGTTCTCGCATGATCATTGATTCAGAAATACAGGTGGGGCAATACTATTGGTGTACTAATATTCTTTGACATACACATTGGGCTAACCTTCAGAAGTCAGTTTTGACAATTACTAGGCGAATACATGATTATTCGAAAAATATCCAGTGTTTTCAAGACGAGTTTCTTGACCTCACAAAGTTTTCTGGACGATTGGCAAACGCATCGCATGAGGCATGCACGTACTTTTCATAAATCTGGTCATGATTTCAAGAGTGCTGTTATGGAGGGGTTCATAGTTGAGTAACTGATAAGCAACTTTTTTCCTAAGGTAACTCCTCAGAAAAAAAGTAGCTCCTCTAGGTATATGAAAATATACCTGTCTAACCCCTACAAGTGGAGAACTATTCGTTGTGTTGAAGAAGTCGTGGATCCGTGCGGTGCAATCGTTATTGGAACACTATCAATCAGTAAGGTTTGCTGTAACCACCAATGACCTTCTGCAATGTGCAGAAGTCGTTCTGCACTTTGCTCGTTCTAAGCAGATGTAGAGTTCCCCTCCGTTACAACAACGTCTGAAAATTCGAAAAATCGACCGGAACACGTAGTGCTCTGCTGGAATTTGATGGTTGCATTGTGCGAAGCGAATATTTACATGACATTGTAATCATTGTGTGTTTATGCAACCTGCAACTGGAGAAAAAACAGGCGAAGCTGCTAGAAGAATTTTGAGAAATCCAGAATGTAAAGATGTACCAAAAATCCCTACTCCTTTATTGTAATTTTCTCTTAGAGAAGTAAAATAGGTCCGGTATCAGGAGGCAGAAACGTGAGAAAACCGCCTAGCCTCTAAAGTTTTGAAGATTCGTACCCATTTGCAGGAATTCAATCTTGTCTTGCTATGCACTCGCCTCAACACACATCAATTCTCGAGATTGAAACTACGTGGAGAAGTGGTGAAATGGAATTTTCTGTATTCTCTTGGTACTGTGCTGTCCCGGAATCTCACCAGGACCTGAATATTGTATATAACACGGAGAGGCATCAAACTTTCATTCCAAAGGAACTCTAGACCTTCACAAAATCTGAAGTATTTCAAAAATTCCACAAAAGTCAAAAAAAACCACCTCAATCGACCAACAAAAAACGGCTCTCGTAAAGAGAGCTTTGTACTTGGCTATGGTGAAGACATGCCGACGAAGGTTTTATAGAGCGTAATGCTGCGGAAGTTTCAAAAGAAAATGTTTTCAAACTGTTTCTTTGGTTTTTTGAACTACTTTTGGAATTTTTGGAAAACTTTGAATTTTGTGAACTTTTGGAATTCTTTTGGAATCAGCTCTGGTGCCTCTTTGTGTTACGCAATGTTTTCTGCGTTGTGGTGAGAAGTGCGAGCACTGCAAGAGCATCCCGCTTGAATTATATTCTTAATTTTCTACTTGACAATGCCTCTGTCCTTTTGTCACGTGTCAGAGATACTTCAACACCTTTCTGAGGGCTAAGAATACTACTTCTTCTTCGGATGGAACAGTTACTGCATCCCGGAGAAAGTCATCCACGACTTCTACTCGGATCTCTTCGATAGCCATGTCCATCTGCCCACTTATCAACTGCAACAGGATGGATACGTCGTCCCCTCAGTTCTCTCTTCCGAAGTCCGACACGCCATCAAGTCGGTGAAGAATCGTACAGCACCCGGTCTAGACAACAAGATTGTAAGCTCAGGCAGTTAGGGTAGTATACCGTTTATTTAATGGTGCGCGTCAAGTAGCGTGTCTAGTCGCTGCAGCTGCACACACCACCCTCTACTTCACGTCAAGCATTTCGATTCGATCAAACCATTCCCCCTCGATACAAGAAGCCTCCCTTTGAATTTATGAGAAGCTACCGTACCGTAATCCCAAAAAGCTGATTGCTAAAAAAAGCTAAGTGTTATGCTGCGGACGGTAACCACTTGCAACACAACACGCTTTACGTCGAATACGCCAGGAGCGCGTTTCATTTCATGCGTTCAAAATCCGCAGTTTTATTGTATCTGTTAGTAGATGTATAATAGTGTTCGTTGATTACACTACTCTAGACGACACAGAGAGTGTGGCTTTATTCTCACACACAAAACGATTGGGAATAATGAATCCTACTTTACGTTAACGGCTCCGCTTATCAGTTATGCAAGTGGCATGGACAGAAATCATATAGACATTTTCAAAGCTTGGTGACTTTTCATCTGTGAGCCAAAGATAGTACGACGATGATGCTCACACCAGTATGTCTGATACGTTTTTCACAAAACATCAGAACACCACCCCCATGCACTGCAGAACCTAAATTCGCTTGAGAAACAAATGTAACATGGGAAAAACTGTGCGGTTTTCATGATATTCTCACTCTGTGTGCGCATCCTTACATGTCTCTCGTGTTAGCATGCAGCGACAAAGGGAGCGATATGCTCACGCAGACTTTTTGGAAGCATTGCAACACCAATTAGTTTTTATCGTAACCACTTCATAATATAAACCACAACTTTGGCGTGTAGATTTGCCAGAGTATGGGTCTGTGTGTACTGTACGGTGGAGGTGTGTGGGTTACGGTAGCTCTCATGAACGCTGAAGAGGATTCTTGTCTTTTTGTCAACCGGACTTCTTTTCTGAAAAGTCGGTTGAATCTGAAGGTAGGTTTCTTCGATTTGTTAGAGCAAGAATTGATGTGGTTGTGTTTAGTACAGTTTTATGTCCTTGTTGCGTAAGTTCAAGTGTTCAGGTTGATACAGAACTTTGCGTTCAATCTTCACCAGCAGTTTCAATACACGACTGCACCCCTTTTACCCTAAAAAGAAATTGCTACTGAAACATCGCCTATTTGAATTCCAAGTCGTTATGACATTTTCGCTAATCAACTGAAAAAAATTGCGAAAAAACTAAATGTCATTTTCCGTAATCACTACATTGAATTACCACTACAGCAAAGTTGAGACGGTGTCAAAAGTTTTAAGATTTTGCAGTTGTAAGTTGATTAGCATCAAAACTTTGTTTCAGGTTTGAGCGGTTGATTTAAGTATCGCGTTTGCTACAGCGGTGTGCATATTCGCCTTTCGTTTGCCCTTGCTGCCTGGGCTCAATCCTACAGGACCTTCTTCAGAGTGCTCTCCCCCCCGCCTGCCTCCCCGAGCCACATTGCGCCTAATTATGTTTTGAACTCTTGATAGAGAATTCGAACGCAAAATTCGGTAGCAACCTAAACACTTGAAACCTACGCAACACTAACCTAAGCTGTACTAAATGGAACTAAATGGAACGACATTCATTCCCACTTTATTAAACCGAAGAGACCTATCCTCAGATCCCAACCGAATCTTCACAAAGAGATCTCCGATTAACATATTGATGCCCGTGCCGATTTTGGCGCATGTCACACATGTGTCATTCGATTGCGTGCGTGCATACTCGGCGATGCACAAATCTCATATGTGGGACATTTTGTGGGTTTTCGTTGCGGGACCCACCGGCCGATCCATTGGATTGGGCGCGAGAGCTTTCGTTTTTCTGAACAAAGCATGGTTCTTTTCTCATTTTGCTTGTTATCACGTCTTTATGAGTTCAATAAGTGTGTAGCCTTGTTTCATACGTATTTTTGGGAACCTTTTTGAACACCGTCACTATCGTAGCCCCATTTTTGACAATGCAGGCAGACTGGTGTGAAATTCCACGCAACTTCCTAATCTTTTCTTTGTCTAACAACGCCAATCACTTACCCGCTAAGGAGCACTACGGATTGACATTAGTTCTTGAGTTCGTTATGCCTCTCCTGTTCTTTTGAATGTTGTAAGCGTTTTCTTAGATCGTGTTTCCTGTTCATCATGTTTTCTGTAGGCGCTTTTGAGAGTGGCCATTATTTCAATGCGGGGGCCGGGTATAGCAAGCCCCGGCGAGGGGATGGGTCCCCAAAACTCAGCATCTCTGAACGCATCCCCCTATTCTCGATCACGAGGACTGGGTCATCGACCGGAGTAGAGACGCAGAGTTCTGGGGATCCATCCCCTGGCCGGAGTTTGCTGCAGCTGGTCCCAGATCAGATAGACAAACTCGTGGAACATCCCGCGAGTGTG